TTTCTTTGTACCTAACAACACACACAAAATGCAAACATACATTGTAACCTATGCAAAGAAATAAATTTTGTCTTTGTCTTGTCTATAACTATTAATAAATTTAGTCAGTTAGGACTTAATGGTCTTGAAATCTTCAACAACTTCCAGAATCAAAGGTTAAAATTAACCAAAGTTACTCAAAACTTACCACTATTGCTAGAGTCTGTATTATTATATTTGTAAGGAAATGCTAAAATCATGGTGGTTGTACAGCACCTGGAAATGGGTGTAATCAGGTTTGATCAAAAGAAGAAGAGAGTTTCAATTTCTTAGATCAAGAGTCCTTCATCAGCCTCAAGGTATCCCCCATGAGGAGAGTCATTCTGTATGGTACATTCTGGGTATCATTTATGCAGATAAATGTCTGGAGAATCTTAATATATCTTCACTCAGAAAGTTTGAAATCTGTACAAAATTAAGCACATAGTGATAACAAGTGTACAAGCCTCAGTTTGATTTTTAATATCTATAATTATTATACTATCTTAATAAGGTTATGCATAGGTACAGTTAGTTGACATGATCCTAAATGCAAATACCAGAACAAATATCAATTTAGAAACAAGACAACTTAATGTATAACTTTTATCAAATTATTATATTCACTGAAAGCACTAAACCCATAAAAGGGTCATACAGCACTGATTTTCAACAAAACATTATGAAATAACACAGAGTGGGTTGGATCTGAATCCACGGTAAATGAGTCGTAAAAGTCCAGGCCAGTGTGTAAGCCACTTGGATTCAAACCCCACCCGTTCTGTGGCTTGTCTGCAATTATGTTATTACAATTTTGTGAATTATGAAAAAAATTATACCACTGACCATTTTTTTAATTACACAAGTACACGTATACTATAACACTTACCATCTACAGTAACATCTGTGAGACAATACACCCCACATATAGACAAGGGGGATTACCAATAGACCCCAGCTGTCTTCAAGAAAGCACTGGACAGACATCTAAAGTCAGTACCTGACCAGCCGGGCTGTGGTTCGTATATCAGGTTGCGTGCAGCCAACAGTAACAGTTGGTTGATCAGGCCCTGATCCACCATGAGGCCTGGTCACAAACCGGGCTGTGGGGGCATTGACCCCCAAAACCCTCTCCAGGTATATTCCAGGTAATTCACCATGTATCAGGAGGTAAAGGCATGATAACAATGTGTAATGACTGTGATTTCTTTTCACCTGTTACATGTAGGAAACCCATGCTCAACAATGGTACTTCCTGCTACCATGCCTGAGCAGTGACACTTCCTGCTACCATGTCTGGGCAGTAGCACTCCCTGCTACCATGTCTGGGAAGTAGCACTCCCTACTACCATGCCTGGGGAGTGACACTTACTGCTATCATGCCTCAGTAGTGGCACTTCCTGCTACCAGGCTTGGGCAGTGGCACTTCCTGCTACCAGGCTTGGGCAGTGGCACTTCCTGCTACCAGGCTTGGGAAGTGGCACCTCCTGCTACCAGGCTTGGGCAATGGCACTTCCTGCTACCAGGCTTGGGCAGTGGCACTTCCTGCTACCAGGCTTGGGCAGGTGGCACTTCCTGCTACCAGGCTTGGGCAATGGCACTTCCTGCTACCAGGTTTGGGAAGTGGCACTTCCTGCTACCATGCCTAGACTTCTCCCTCAATAGCTGCCACGGATAGACACTTAAGAAGTGTGTGTACAATGCTATGCTTACCCTATAGTTGCCACAAATAGTATATGCACAGTTCATAAAAGAAAACAACTATTCTGTGGATAACTATTAAACAAACTATAAACAAAAAAATCAGTTATCATGCTTTGGACCATCAAGTTTCATGTGTTTTATGGCTGTTTACATTTGTGGTGGTAATGTAACCTGCTTAAGAAATTGAATAGTTTAAGTATGGAAGAGAGAGCTCATTACAGAGAGTATGAGTGACAGTTCATTATAGAGAGCATATGAAAGTTCAATAGAGAGAGAATATGGGAGAGAGCTCACAGAGAGTATGGGAAAGAGCTTATTACAGATGGCAGAGAGCTCATTAGAGTATGGGAAAGTTCATTAGAAAATATGGGAATAAGTTCATTAGGGAAGTATGAGAGTTTTCATTAGAGAGAGTACTGAAAGTGAACAAAGGAGAAGAGAAGTACAACAAACGACTGAAAAGATTGTAGCATATATCATAACCATGTACCTGAAGTGGATATACAGTGTTTTAACTTAAACTGATCACTTTGTTCAGATTTTAAAAGGAAGTACAAGAAGGCGCCACTTACACAGCAGATTAGGTTCCGGGCTACTGCTGTAAAGCAAAAATCGCTGTAAAGTGAATCTTTTTTTTTTTCACTTGTAAATGCATATATAAGCCTGATAACATGTTTACACTATGAATAATATGGCTAGGCCTAAAAAATGCATATACAGTACATATATTACTTAATATATTTTCATCCTTAGCTTATAGTGAGTGGCATTTATAATAATAATTATAATAATAATAATAATAATAATAATAATAATAAAATAATAATAATAATAATAATAATAATAATAATATAATAACATCTTCGTTTCTACAAGTACATGTACAAGGTATACAGGCATAGCTGACATCAATGACATACTACTTTATAGAAAACCGCTTGTTATGCTGAGCATTTCAGGCAAATTATGCAAGTTTTGTCCCACACCAGTCGACTAACACCCAGGTACCCATTTATACTGATGGGTGAACAGGGACAGTTAAGTGTCTTATGAAATCACGTCCCTAATGTTTTCCAGCCATATTGGAGATTCAAACTCTGGACCTCAGTGTGTGAGCTGAGTGCACTAGCGATCGAGCTATGGGACACCTAGGAAATCTGAATAAATGAAGAATGGGTATATAATTGAAATGCACTGTATTAGTAAAACACTGTATAGTGAAACGCTGTAAAGTGGGACCTGCCTGCACTCTGTAAACTGTACATGAATGTATAACAGTAAGTTACAATAATTATAAAATCAACCAAATGGATGTGTGACAAAATTATACAGCAGTCTTCCTGAGGTGCATGAGTGTAAAGATTAAATTATGTAAGTTGTAAAAACCATTTTTGCATATGGCAGCACCAGTTGGTTTTCAGTATTATATAACACTGACTACAAATGCTTGTTGTTTATTATACAATTAAAATTATGACTTCCTTCACTTTCATTTTCACAACACTATATCACATCACACTACTGAACAAGAGGGTTATTTAATGACAATTATCTTGAAATTATTTTGAATTATAATTAATATTACTGATATTATGATTCCTATGGTAAGGTCACATCGGGTCTTTATGGTTATATTCTACTGACAGAATCAATACTAAAATTTTACAAAAAATAATGCTATACAGTGTATTCAGATGGGCCCTGATTTTCTTGAAAATACCAGTAATGGCCCCAAGTGGAAGGTTTTAAGGCAGATTCCTCAAGTACAGTTAGGGAAGCCCACCAAGGTAAACATTTGAAAAAATGTTCCCTGAGGTTCATGGGATGGCAATAGTAACAGCCAATAAGGAAGTAACAAAAAATTCAGCAACTTATCAATGGTGGGGCAGTCAGAGAATAAGGAAGAAAATGCTGTGTAATGCACAGGGAAAAACTAGTTTGTATGCTTGAAATGCCATCAAAAACAATGAATAGACTGGGTAGAAAAAATATTGAGGTGATGACAATTATGAAAAGATAAACTAGTATGATGGAAGATAAACTATTATGATGAGTATGAACATCCAAGACAGATTCACATTTTTAACTTGAAATCAGTATTATTACCCTTGTCTTTTATAAAATCTAACTAATTTTACCATTCAAGGCATTAAATGAATTACTAATTTCTGAATAGGCCTCTATTTGCTTTTCAAGCATTTTTTCCCTCTTTTGCTCTGGTACTGTATAGGCATACAAATGTGATTGTTATATTGTACATGCAGAAATTTGTTGCATAATTATAAGGAAAATGCCATAGCAAAGAAGGGGATACATTATTGTAAAAACATGGTACAGAAAGCATGACATACAAGTTCTTAAGCGTAGCTTTGTCGTTAACTTACACAACACTCACCTAACACTGATCTGGTCTTCACCCAAGAAGGGTAAAGAAAAATATCATTATTTATATTACTCTTAGGGTAGCATTCTAGAGGCAAACATATATAATTTTAAACATCCATACATAATGTACATGACTACTGTAATTAGCTAGAGTATTTTGACTTGATTTTTGAGTGTACAGATTTACGAGCAATGTTATGAGTGCATGGGGATGAAATTAAGAGCATCTCCTGAACACTACCCAGATCTACTAGCAACAATGGAACATTATTTTGTGGCAGTATGTCATATGGCTTAGCGCTGTTGAGGCTGAGAACACTGAGCCTCGTGCAGTGCCACATGTTTTTACAAAGTTAAGCTTAAGAGTAAAATCAGCATTACCATAGATATAAAATCTTTCTCTAAGGAAAATATCGCTTTTAATGACAAAGCATCATAGTAGTCAAAAGTTCATCGAGTATATCTGACTAATACACAAAATTCTGAATTTCTGTAAAACCTCTCTGGCTGATACTATAGACAGAATATTATCCTCTTAGTTTTACGTGGGTTAAAGTTTTATCTAGAGTTGTACCAGCCAAGATTATTTCAAAACTCCTTATTTGTGCATTTCAATTAAATAGCTCAGAATAGCTCTGCAATATTTTACAGAGGTGCACAATACCTGTACACAGTTGAGCACTGAAAGTTCAGACTGATTAGGGTCGGAGGTATTCTAAGCTTATAATCATCTTATTTAACCAACTGTAAAAATCTAAGAGAAAATTTCAAGAAATAACTGGCAAAACATTACAATGCAAATCAAAGAAAACCACATCAATGTTCAAGTACCACATTAAACATTCTGACTATCTGAAGTATCACATAAACTTCCAGTGCTCGACTGTGTTTAATAGCTTAGTCTCTTCATAAACTGTAATACATGTATCTGTAAATGTAAATTTTGGTGCACACACACAAGCACACACATGCACACTTGAACTGTAAACCACTGTTGTGAAGGAAAGTTTTGTCAAGAAAGCAAGCTTAAATTTTCCTGTACTGGAGAAAACAGAGAAGAGGATATTTATACTGTATGCATGTATGTATGTATGGGGAAATAGACAAGACTTATCTACTTCTAATATCCTGTAATGAGTCAATTTAACTGACCAAATCGCACCAATCTGTCATACTCTTATACAGTGGACCCCCGCCTTACGATCAGCTCCCAACACGACCAATTATCTAAGTGTATTTTTGTAAGTGCTTTTGTACGTGTATTTTTGGGGGTCTGAAACGGACTAATCTAATTCACAGTATTCCTTATGGGAACAAATTCAGTCGGTAACGGCACCCAAACAGACTTCTGGAATGAAATAATATCGTAAGGCGGGGGTCCACTGTACTGAAAAACTTTTTCTTAAGTGTCCGTCTCTCATTTGGGTTTGTAGTTTCCACCTATCCTCTTGTACTAACCGCTTCTCTGGTAAAATGCCTATCCTGCTAATGTTCCAGAGTATTTAGCATGTAATCATGTTCCCTATTGGGCTCCTGATGGTGCCTCTTGATGGAATGTAGTACAGTAAGCACTAGTTCCGTTTCCTTTCTCCTGTAAGCCTGGTGGTGGAGACGGTAGAGCGCCGCACTGTCAATTTACAGATCACGGTTCACTCCCCTCATCCACCTTTCTGTTTATTCACTGATACTTGTTTATTACAACTTAATCTGACTTCATGTTCCTTATTGTTTGTAATCTTCTTGCCACAGAAGCTCTAGCTCAACTCTCTTTCCTCACAGCTTTTTCCTTTCCCTTCAACTTCAGCTCTAGTCTGGATGAGCTTTTTCTGGTCTTCTATAGTTTTATTTAATGTTGTACTAAGGAAGGTTCCACACTTGCACTGTTTATTCAAGACTTAGTCTTACATATGAGATAAAGATTAGCTTTACCTTTTCTTTATCTAATTTTCTAAATGGCAATCTTATGAAAAAATAATAAATTTATACATAGAACTAAACCTCTAAGGCATCCTAATACTTTCATGCCTGTGCATGCATGCCTGTGGATGTATGTATGCATGAGTGTGTATACTGTATATGCATTAGTGTGTGCATTATTTTATTTTTTATCAAGTGTGTGTACTCACCTATTTGTGGTTGCAGAGGTCGAGACTCAGCTCCTGGCCCCATCTCTTCACTGATTGCTACCAGGTCCTCTCTCTCCCTGCTCCATGAACTTTATCAAACCTCATCTCGTGTGTGTGTGTGTGTGTGTGTGTGTGTGTGTACTCACCTATTTGTGGTTGCAGGGGTCAAGTCATAGCTCCTGGCCCCATCTCTTTACTGATTGCTACCAGGTCCTCTCTCTCCCTGCTCCATAAACTTTATCAAACCTTGTCTTAGAACTATGTATGGTTCCTGCCTCCACTACATCACTTTCTAGGCTATTCCACTTTCTGACAACTCTATGACTGAAGAAATACTTCCTAACATCTCTTTGACTCATCAGATTCTTTAACTTCCAATTGTGACCCCTTGTTTCTGTGTCCCATTTCTGGAATATCCTTTGTCCACCTTGTCAATTCCTCACAGTAATTTATATGTCGTTATCATGTCCCCCCTAATCCTCCTATCCTTCAGTGTCATCAGGCTGATTTCCCTTAAACTTTCTTTGTCAGACAATCCCCTTAGCTCTGGGACTAGTCTTGTTGCAAACCTTTGCACTTTTTCTGTTCGTGTGTGTGTGTATGTTTGTTTGCTTGTGTTTGTGTTAAAGAACGTACATCAAGGTAAAAGTGCTCATATTCTAAGTTCGTCATGCTTACAAGAATATACAGATACGATCATATTTTGGCACAAAACAATAGATAATACTTCTTCACTCCTTATTCCTCGCACTTACCTTTAGCAAAAATACTTTAATTCTTTAGCACTAAGTTCTACTATTATTTTAATAACTATTGTATAGCTATATTAATGCTTCAGCATCAATGCAAACTGTTCCAGTTGGTTTTATAGAAAGCCCTTGACATAAGTAAGTCGAGGGCAGATTCTGGAAACTTTAAAATCTTTCTGAGAGATACAAATTATACCAGCATATATTTAACTAATTGTTCATTGTACTAGTAAGGAAAAGGAGGTGTTTGTTAAAGCTGAATGTCCATTATATCTGAATGATAAGATTGTTTTTATGTCATCTTGAAAATAATGGACAGTACTGGATTTAACAGACTTTGTCTGTTAAATCCAAAATTAATTTGCCCAACAGACTGCAGCAATATCAGACAACTCTCATTAAAGAGACTTTGTCCATTAAGTCTGAAATTTGTTAATCAGGGTCCATTAAATCAAGATTTTGTTACTTTTGTAACAATCCAGTTTATATACTTCGTATTTTTTAAGATAGCCCATTGATGTTTGAATACATCACTAATTTTCTTTTGTCTTTTATTATATATTATAGGTACACTTTAAACTGACTTTCATAAATGTGCCACATAGCATATGAAAAATCATTCATTCATTCAGAACACTGGTTGACTGCAAAGAGAAATTCGAACATTTAAAAAAGTAAAGCATTATGTATCAGTTATGTTTAATTTGGGGTGCAAATGCTTAAGAAATATGAGATTTACCCTCAAGATAAAACAGTTCAACTGAGTTACTCAAAATTTTAGGCCTATTATTAATTTTGCATTATAACTAACATGGCAATTTTTTAACAAAATTTCCACACAGACTACGTGACAATCAGTGGTCCATGGTTTTATAACAACATCAAGTCTGTGTCACTCATATGTTAAACACAGTCAGTTTAATATTACACACAAACTAGCTGACAATCAAGTGATTCATATGTTAAGCAAAATTAACAATGATGCACAAACTAGATAACAATTGGTGATTCAAGCTTTTGTGTTATTCGTATATCAAACATAATTAACAATAATACACAAACTAGCTGACAGTGATTCAAGCTTTTGTGTTATTCATATATCAAACATAATTAACAATAATACACAAACTACCTCACAACTGGTGATTCAAGCTTTTGTGTTAATCATATGTTAAACATAATTCAAAATGGTACACACTGCAGTCAAATGAAGTACAGTACTGTATCATTAAAGAGAAGAACATTAAGTTCAAGTCTGACTGTGTGGTAAGCATAGAAGGCTGATGGTATTTGTGGTGCTCAGGAATATCCTCTTGTTCATGTTATGATAACAGGTCTAGATGAGCCCATCCTCTGAGTTGACAACTGCCCATGACTGAGATAATTATCTGACTACAATTTTCATTTTAATGATGATCTCGAGATTTTTTCCGTCCTGGCAGATTGTAACATTTTAGGTGTGTTTTAACTTGCATTCCAGAATCTGCACCTAGTATTCATTTAGTGATTCAGTTCAAAGATCACTAATGGTAAACACAATTTTGATTATGATTAAAATAATTTAAATATGGTACATATCTGAACAGAAGTTTCAATAAATCTTCCTGTATGGTTTAGTGATGTCCATTATATCTTACAATAAAATTTAAATACACAAATATAATGATATTCAACATGAGAGCATTCATTTAATAATGTTTCACACTTTAAACATTCTCAATTAGAAGTCTGCAGAGCAAGATTTCCAGGTTTGTAGTCAGAATTTTATTATGGGGTGGGTCTTAAACTTAATAAAAATATATGTAAAATGTTGGTGCAGTTATTTTATATTTCTATTATTCTAAAGCACTAAGGACTACAAATGGTGAAAATAATTTTTACAGAATTTTGAGGGCATTTTTTTTTTATGTAGCAGTGTTACTGGCATAATAATTAAAGACATTAGTTTAGAAAATTTTATCCTAACTTCTATTTCACCTTATAGCTTCAACAATCCACTTCTCAGTTACCATGTATTTTATCAGTTTAAATTATTTGTCTTACAAATTTTGTCATCTTGAGATAAAAAATATTTTTCTTAACTTTGAGTTTCTATAGCATTAAACCAACAATCTGCCACTGGATGCTTTTAAAATTAAAATAAAGCCCATAGCAGATTTACAGTAGAAGAGAGCGTATGGACCCTTCTCTTACTAATGAAAAATGGTGAGTGTTGTTTATTGGTAACTTTGTGTAATTTTCTAAAATTGACCTAGAATATAAGATAGAGACAGCTGAATACCTGAAGTATCAGACAGGAGGGTCCTACCTACACTGAATTGTGAATTGGAATTGATCAGGACAGTATGTGAGTTTGAATAACTGTCGATTAGGTATATTAGCATACATTGTTTACTCTTTCCTCAGAGGGTGACCCAAAGAAATACATTCACCATCACTCACTCAACAGCTCTCTCTCCAACATTGCATGAGCATCACAATTCAAGCAACCCTCTGAAGTGCAAGAATGTATCTTTCCTAGATACTATGATATCACACAAGGTACTGTCATATGGAACCTACTGCATCCACAGCAGTAGGCCTACTCGTATTATGTTTTTCTCTTTTTATATCTAACAGTTCTTACAATATAAATAGTATGTGCATTTCACTAAAAAATAATTTTCATGCGATTCAAAAACTTAATGCCGTCATTGCTTGAATAATAGTAATTAATAATTATAACTGTATAAATATTGCCTTGCTGAAATGTGTTCCCTGAAACCACAAGATTCTGGATTCACCATAGACTGGCCTGAGTATTTAACACATTTTCTACTTTTTATTTAATATATCACACTATAGTAATAGCCTCAAATAAGTCATGTTGTAATTCTTAATCACTTTTGTCCTTTCTTGCTCGTATATGTATCTGTATCATACACAAAATTCATATAAGAAAAATAGATATTTCCTTTGGCTTTATTATACTGTACTATAAATTCTTTGGATGACCCAAATGTGGGTTTGTATTTCATTCAGAATATACTATATCTTATAATACATTTTTTATAATAAAAATCATCCATCAGACTTCTCACTATATGGTATCTAACAAGAAAACTTTTTGTATAATATCTTGTCTATTATTTTCATCAAATACTATAGCAACCTGAAACATATTTTTAATGGAAAATGTCATTTTTCTTACCACTGTTGCTAATTTTTCAAAAATCTACACCAAATATCACCTTATTTTCTAAGCATTACAAACTTCTAAACAAAGATGACCCACTAACAGAGGTATTTAATCTAGCAAAATATTATTCCAGACTCTTCTTGCCTAAAGAAATGTTAAGATGGGATGTATCCCTCATGATATTCTCTTACGTGGCAAAACCTGCAGTATCTCAAGAGGTGACCCACTAGGAGGCTGCCGTGGGGGGGCTCTGAGTGGCTTCCTGACAGATCTCCACGAACGCCGGGTCTCGCATCACATCACGAATCATCTCCTTCAACATGAAGTACCGGGGAATGATGGGGTACATTTTGCTCTCAACGTAGTCGTCCTGCAAGTTAAATCATAGCCGTTCAATATTTTGTAACAAGAATTTCTTTCAGTTTAATTGAACAAAAAAATGAAAAACAAAAAAATTTACTTTTATTCTATAATGCTCATGAATAGACTGCATTCATATTGCAAGAAATAATGATTAACCGAAAATATTTAAACAATGTGTAGAAAAATAATAATTTTTATTTTTATTATCACACTGGCCGATTCCCACCAAGGCAGGGTGGCCCGAAAAAGAAAAACTTTCACCATCATTCACTCCATCACTGTCTTGCCAGAAGGGTGCTTTACACTACAGTTTTTAAACTGCAACATTAACACCCCTCCTTCAGAGTGCAGGCACTGTACTTCCCATCTCCAGGACTCAAGTCCGGCCTGCCGGTTTCCCTGAACCCCTTCATAAATGTTACTTTGCTCACACTCCAACAGCACGTCAAGTATTAAAAACCATTTGTCTCCATTCACTCCTATCAAACACGCTCACGCATGCCTGCTGGAAGTCCAAACTGCCACCTCAAAGTGAATCACAGTTTTTTTTTTCACTTGCCAGAGAATATAAAAGCCTAAAAACATGTTTACACTATCATTTATTAAGTGTGCAATAGCACTAGGCCTAAAAACCATGCAAAAGTAAAAATAAGAAATAATTTCTTTAAATTGCTAAAAACCATCTTAAGAGCATGAATGTACTGGTGTATTAGCAAAGCACTCTTTAAGTTAGTGCCATATTAACGAGGAATGCATGTACCTTCAGGAATTAAAAGTGAAGAAGAAAGTGCAATAATTACAGTACATAGTAAAAAGCACTTCGATTCTCACAGTCTAGAAGCCAGAAACTCAAAGAAAATTAATTGTCAACATTTCATTGCAAGTTAACTATTTGTTAACATCACTGTAGTAGGAGAGTTAGAGGGCATATATGAGTCAGTTCAAGGTGAAGTAAGTTATGTTAAGAAAATCATTGTTTGCTAGATACTATATTGCTGTCACCCCTGAGGGAAGGATAACAAAATATAACCCATAAAATGAAAAAAAGTATCTTCCTTAATGGTTTGAAGCCTATCAACTACACAAACGTCATTAAGAAAATTATGAATTAACGTCATTTTAAAGCATTTTCAAATTATGTTAATGTTCTCTTTTAATTTATTTTCTTGTATTACTATGGTATTACCAGGTATTCCATTATCTACTGCATCTTTTTTTTCTAGAATTAAGTCAATTAGTTCATCAGAGAAGCATGTATACATTGACCACGTCAAACTTCCTCAATAGTCAATCTACTTTAAGCTCTCAAAAGTGTCCATTGTAAGTGTTACCTTGAGCTCCCTCATGAGAGTCCTCAGTGAAGAATACTTCCTCAGGTGTCGGTAGAGTTCATTGGTCAGGGAATTGTTCTCCTCCAGGATCTGTGATGTGGTCATCCCTGCAACACAATTGTTGAGTTTAATACAGTATATATTTAAAGTAAAAGGACACAAGTGCAACTAATGTGACATTTATTGTGGCAACGTTTCGCTCTCCACAATAAATGTCACATTAGTTGCACTTGTGTCCTTTTACTTTACATATTGTCGGTAATTCTACCAACTTTATTACAGTATATATTGTTCATAACTTCCACAACACCAACCATAACTGATGAAAATATTTCTGGAAGACATGTTAAGAATGTTTCTACCACCCAATGTAATAGTCAAAAATTGTATTGACATCAAATTCTAATCAGATTCCTGCAAAGCATACTAACAGATGGAAATTTAAAAATATCATATGTTAAGTTTTCAATATGCCAATAAAACTGCTAAGTTTGGTCCAGTAACACATCTACATTTCTAAAAGCTTCACTTGTAACACATAAATTACTTAGGTTAGTTCAGTTTTGTCAAGAAACAGGATAAGTGTTTCCTGTTGCAGATATTAGTCATATGATGACCACCTACTGGAGCTTTTGGTCATCTGACCGAGGCCTTCTGCTGGTTTACCAATTATTACAATCAAAACTAAACACTAAGCCCACAAGGGTCATAAGTGCTGGCTTACCTGGACCTGGAGTTTACCTGGAGAGAGTTTCGGGGGTCAACGCCCCCGCGGCCCGGTCTGTGACCAGGCCTCCTGGTGGATCAGCGCCTGATCAACCAGGCTGTTGCTGCTGGCTGCACGCAAACCAACGTACGAGCCACAGCCCGGCTGATCAGGAACTGCCTTTAGGTGCTTGTCCAGTGCCAGCTTGAAGACTGCCAGGGGTCTGTTGGTAATCCCCCTTATGTGTGCTGGGAGGCAGTTGAACAGTCTCGGTCCCCTGACACTTATTGTATGGTCTCTTAACGTGCTAGTGACACCCCTGCTTTTCATTGGGGGGATGGTGCATCGTCTGCCAAGTCTTTTGCTTTCGTAGTGAGTGATTTTCGTGTGCAAGTTCGGTACTAGTCCCTCTAGGATTTTCCAGGTGTATATAATCATGTATCTCTCCCTCCTGCGTTCCAGGGAATACAGGTTTAGAAACCTCAAGCGCTCCCAGTAATTGAGGTGTTTTATCTCCGTTATGCGCGCCGTGAAAGTTCTCTGTACATTTTCTAGGTCGGCAATTTCACCTGCCTTGAAAGGTGCTGTTAGAGTGCAGCAATATTCCAGCCTAGATAGAACAAGTGACCTGAAGAGTGTCATCATGGGCTTGGCCTCCCTAGTTTTGAAGGTTCTCATTATCCATCCTGTCATTTTTCTAGCAGATGCGATTGATACAATGTTATGGTCCTTGAAGGTGAGATCCTCCGACATAATCACTCCCAGGTCTTTGACGTTGGTGTTTCGCTCTATTTTGTGGCCAGAATTTGTTTTGTACTCTGATGAAGATTTAATTTCCTCATGTTTACCATATCTGAGTAATTGAAATTTCTCATCGTTGAACTTCATATTGTTTTCTGCAGCCCACTGAAAGATTTGGTTGATGTCCGCCTGGAGCCTTGCAGTGTCTGCAATGGAAGACACTGTCATGCAGATTCGGGTGTCATCTGCAAAGGAAGACACGGTGCTGTGGCTGACATCCTTGTCTATGTCGGATATGAGGATGAGGAACAAGATGGGAGCTAGTACTGTGCCTTGTGGAACAGAGCTTTTCACCGTAGCTGCCTCGGACTTTACTCTGTTGACGACTACTCTCTGTGTTCTGTTAGTGAGGAAATTTTTAGATCCATCGACCAACTTTTCCTGTTATTCCTTTAGCGCGCATTTTGTGCGCTATTACGCCATGGTCACACTGTCGAAGGCTTTTGCAAAGTCTGTATATATTACATCTGCATTCTTTTTGTCTTCTAGTGCATTTAGGACCTTGTCGTAGTGATCCAGTAGTTGAGACAGACAGGAGCGACCTGTTCTAAACCCATGTTGCCCTGGGTTGTGTAACTGATGGGTTTCTAGATGGGTGGTGATCTTGCTTCTTAGACCCTTTCAAAGATTTTTATGATATGGGATGTTAGTGCTATTGGTCTGTAGTTCTTTGCTGTTGCTTTACTGCCCCCTTTGTGGAGTGGGGCTATGTCTGTTGTTTTTAGTAACTGAGGGACGACCCCCGTGTCCATGCTCCCTCTCCATAGGATGGAAAAGGCTCGTGATAGGGGCTTCTTGCAGTTCTTGATGAACACAGAGTTCCATGAGTCTGGCCCTGGGGCAGAGTGCATGGGCATGTCATTTATCGCCTGTTCGAAGTCATTTGGCGTCAGGATAACATCGGATAGGCTTGTGTTAATCAAATTTTGTGGCTCTCTCATAAAAAATTCATTTTGATCTTCGACTCTCAGTCTGGTTAGCGGCTTGCTAAAAACTGAGTCATATTGGGACTTGAGTAGCTCACTCATTTCCTTGCTGTCATCTGTGTAGGACCCATCTTGTTTAAGTAGGGGCCCAATACTGGACGTTGTTCTCGATTTTGATTTGGCATAGGAGAAGAAATACTTTGGGTTTCTTTCGATTTCATTTATGGCTTTTAGTTCTTCCCGCGATTCCTGACTCCTAAAGGATTCTTTTAGCTTAAGTTCGATGCTTGCTATTTCTCTGACCAGTGTCTCCCTGCGCATTTCTGATATATTGACCTCTTTTAGCCGCTCTGTTATTCTTTTCCGTCGCCTGTAAAGGGAGCGCCTGTCTCTTTCTATTTTACATCTACTCCTCCTTTTTCTTAGAGGAATAAGCCTTGTGCATACATCGAGTGCCACCGAGTTAATCTGTTCTAGGCATAAGTTTGGGTCTGTGTTGCTTAGTATATCTTCCCAGCTTATATCGGTTAGGACTTGGTTTACTTGGTCCCACTTTATGTTTTTGTTATTGAAGTTGAATTTGGTGAATGCTCCCTCGTGACTAGTCTCATTTTGTCGGTCTGAGGCTCCACGCATACATGTCTGAACCTCAATTATGTTGTGATCTGAGTATATTGTTTTTGATATGGTGACATTTCTTATCAGATCATCATTGTTAGTGAAGATGAGGTCTAGTGTATTCTCCAGTCTAGTAGGCTCTATTATTTGCTGGTTTAAATTGAATTTTGTGCAGAGATTTAAAAGCTCGTGTGAGTGTGAGTTTTCATCAGAGCTGCCTCCTGGTGTTATTACTGCAACAATATTATTTGCTATATTCCTCCATTTTAGGTGCCTTAAGTTGAAATCCCCCAGGAGCAAGATGTTGGGTGCAGGAGCTGGAAGATTTTCCAGACAGTGGTCAATTTTTAACAGCTGTTCCTGGAATTGCTGGGATGTTGCATCCGGAGGCTTGTAGACTACCACAATGACTAGGTTTTGGTTCTCGACCTTTACTGCTAAAACTTCCACTACGTCATTTGAGGCATTAAGCAGTTCTGTGCAAACAAGTGACTCTGCAATGTACAGGCCAACCCCCCCCTTTTGCCTGTTCACTCTGTCACATCTGTATAGGTTGTAACCTGGGATCCATATTTCGTTGTCCAAGTGATCCTTTATGTGGGTCTCAGTGAAAGCCGCGAACATTGCCTTTGCCTCTGCAAGCAGTCCACGGATGAAAGGTATTTTGTTGTTTATTGCTGGCTTTAGACCCTGTATATTTGCAAAGAAGAATGTTATCGGACTGGTGGTATTGTTGGTACTGGGGGGGGATTTTTTTTCCGGCATTAGTATCTGTATCTGTTGGTTTGGAGTGGAGGCCATCGACTGTGGTTCCACTCCAGGAATGACTGGATTTGGTGTACGATTTCTGCCATTTCCTGCCAGTTTTTTTTCCTTCCTGGCACTAAAAAACCTCTCCCTCTTGAGTGGCTGTGGCTACCCAGGTTTTCCCATGGCCTGGATGTTTTGTATCTTTTTGTCCCCTTTAGATGGTATGCCTGGCAATTTAAGTTATAGCACAGTCTTTCCTGTACTGAAGAGGTACACATTTCAGGGTGAAAAAGCTTACAGGAAGGGAGTTTGCATTTTCCTGTTGTCATATGGGCATGACATTTTCTAGGGTGGTCATAGTTGCATGTCCCATCTGTTTTTCCAGATTTTCCCATGCCAGCAGATACCAAGTGCATAGTATGTGCACAGGCTTGGTTTCCGTTTGCCTTGGGTTTCTGTGACTGTATTCCCTGTTGGTGCATGTTTCCCTGTCTTATTCCTATCCTCCCTAGCACCAACAATGGAGCTCCCACCAGTTGTTTTGGTAATTTATCCTCACTATTGCTATTGGAGTCCTCTTGTTTGCTATTTCCTGCGGTATTTCTGGTTTGCAATATTGGTTTTATCTTATCTTTGACTACACTTGTTTCCCTACTATGGCTCCTGTCCTCTATGAGGTCATTTATATGTATTCCTTCCTGCGTATAATTCCCGACTACCTGGACAAAATCTCCAGCTTCACCATTACTGTCTACCAGGACAGTATCTCCAGCTTCACCATTTCTGTCTCCCAGGACAGCACCTCCAGCTTCCCCATTACTGTCTCCCAGGACAGTATCTCCAGCTTCACCATTACTGTCTCCCAGGACAGCACCTCCAGCTTCACCATTACTGTCTCCCAGGACAGCACCTCCAGCTTCACCATTACTGTCTCCCAGGACAGCACTATCAGCCCTACATTTACTGACTACCAGGACATCACCTCCAGCCTTACAGTTTGTGACTACATGGCCAGTATCAAGGGCAGTACCATTCAGCCCGGACTTTTTATGTTCCCATCTGTTGTAGAAAGCTTCCAGGTTTTCTATGAAAGCAGCTTTGATGTTATCCTCTTTTAATACCCTTGTGATTTTAGTCCACAGATTTTCCTCATTTGGGCATACCCAAAAACACTTCTCTGTTTTAATACTGCTTGTAGCTAGTTCTGGGATATCTGCACAAGGAGCGTGACACCAATTTCCACAAAAATGATAATTTATCCAACCTAACTCTTTAAAAATTAAAAAGTTTTACAAAGCTGGCACTG